TGACCCTGAGAAGTGAAGAAAACCAAAATGCTTTCATCATACCTTGTTTTTTCCCCTTCATTTTAATAGCTTTATTGAGGTCCAGTGACAATAACCTGCAAGTGTTTAACGTGCAGAATATATGTGCCAACCCATGGATAGACCTGGGAAACCCTCACATGGTTCAGACAGTGAACATACGTATCCACCCACCCCACAGGCTTCCTCGTGAGCCTCAGCACCCCCTGGCCCTCTTTCCCTCTCCTGCCCTCCCTTCCTCTCTCTTACCAGGAAATCACTGATCTACTTTCTGTCACCATAGATTACTTTGCATTATCTAGAGGTTTATGTACGTGAAGTCATTTAGTATGAACTTTTGGGTCTGGCCTCTTTACCTAGCATAATTGTTTTAAGATTTGTCCATGTTGCTGTGTGAACTGTTCTTCCTTTCTTAATCTATTATATAGATATTCTTATCCACTCACTACTCAGTGGACATTTAGGCTGCTTCCAGTTTTTGGCTGCTACAAGCACAGCTGCTGTGAACATTCATGTACCAGTCTTCATGGGGACGCATGCTTACATTTTTCTTAGGCAATTGCTTAAGAGTGGAATAGTTGGATCATACACTAAGTGTGTGTATAACTTTTTAAGAAACTGTCAAATAGTTTTTCCAAAGTAATTGTACCATACGTTATGTACTGGAAACCACTGTACTTTCAGAAGAACAGGGTGGGCCATGATGTTGTCATGAAAAGGAAGCCAACCGTTGAGGGTTGGGTTTATAAAGGAGACTATTTTCTTCTAGAATCTTGGAGTGTGATGCTGGACATGTATCTCTGAAATATACTCGCTAAGGGTATAAATGGAAATACCTCGGCTCAGGCACAGACCCCATCCTAGAAGAGAATCAAACTGTAATTTATTTGGTTAAAGAGATTCAAAACACGTGAAAACAAGAACCTGAGATTTATTTCAGTCGGCTCCGGGGGCCTGGCATCAGGGAGCTAGACTAGTTTTCTTTAGTACACAAAGCTAGGACCTCCTTTTCCTGCAGGAATCAGGGAACAGAGGAGAAGGTGGGTTCTGGAGGTCACTGGGCCTCTTCAGGAGGGGGACCCGACCGCAGTGGGCACCACTTGCCCCTGTGTTCCTCTCACCACCTGGTGATCCAGAGGCCCTCCGCCTGGCGAGTCTGGGCCCAGAGCATTCTCAAAGCAACCACTGTCTTGTTATCTTTAGCAAGTCCCTCAGTTGATAGAATAGCGGGGAGAACACACATTCAGCAAAACAGGACTTGACAGAGAAGTTGAATCAAGAGAAAAGGCACTAATGTAAGAAAGATGAACTGGGAAAAATTTAAAAGCCTCCTCACTGCTCCTTTACCGGGGGATGAGAGATGCACTAATTATTGTCTAAGTAGGAAGAAAACAAATACCAGAATCAGATGACCATCAGAGTCAAAGATGTAGATAATAACTTCAAAGGAGAGGTTTCTATGTTAACAGCCAAGATGATTCTGAAATCTAGAATGTTTGACTTGATATCAGTAGAACACAGGCTCTAACACTTGCTTGGGATTTTTTTTTTCATGAACATAAACATATTTATTTTATTTTATTTTGGGGGGGTTTGGAACCTCACTCTGTTGCCCAGACTGGAGTGCAGTGTGGCACACTCATTCTGCTTCAACCTTCCAAGTAACCAGAACTACAGATGTGCACTACTGTGTCCGGCTAATTGTGAATTTATTGTAGAGACGAGGTCTTGCCAAGTTGCCCGGGCTGGTCTTGAAGCCGTGAGCTTAGGCCTTCCACTCAGTTCAGCCTCCCAGAGTGCCAGGATTACAGGGGGCCACATAAACAGATTTAATAATTAATGTTCACTTCTTGGGGTTTGGTTGTTACTGTAAATTGTAAATGACTTTTGCCCTCTCTTTCAGGCTTGCATTGGACCCACCATGACACCTACAGAATTTATGGTGAGTACAGCTGCTCTTCTCTGGCTCCTCCAACATGCCCCCATCACCCCTTTGTAGAGGAAAGGATTTCTCTGTGTGCTTTTCCAGGGTCATATCTCTGCTCAGCAATGCCCATTACCAAAGAGGTTGTTGTCCAGCATAGGTGCAAACACAACGAACGAGAGGTGTTGTGGGGTATGTTAGAAAGACAGAGCAAAATGTCATTTTTAGATTTGACTTACAGTTAAGTGTTTTCATGATCTTCAGCTAGGATGTGCTTCATTCTATTGGTCTTTTCTGAAACTCAGACAAACAAGGGCAAGGGAGAAGCCATTTATTTTAAAAGACCCATGGTCTACTTGTGTAACTCATCCTGACTTATACCCTACATCTCTATAATAAAATAAAGAAATAAAGACTTATGGTGGGTACATTAGTTGTATGTCTTGCATAATGCTATGTAAGCCTTACAAAAACATGTAACAGTATAAATTCCTCTGAAAGAGACCAAGAGCTGAACAAAAATTAGTGAATCAAATAATTATCCGGAGAATCATTTTCTCTTTTATGGCAAGATGCAATTAATTATAGAATCAAATCAAATTCCTTTGCTTTTGTTATATTAATAAGTGCCTTAACAAAATATCTAGGGGTAGTAATTTTGCTTTTCTCAAAGAAAAATTCTGAGTTTTACAAGTTGATCATTGAAATCAAGTGTTCTCAGAGGAGCTGACAAATTGCCCTTCACAAGACGTCGTAGGTTTCCATGATATCTAGAAGGGGGCGAAGTTGAAGTGCTTGCCAACTACATTATCTATGATCTGCTAATGCTTCTTTTTTGTTTTTGTTTTTTTTGAGTTGGAGACTCACTCCATCGCCCAGGCTGGAGTGCAGTGGCATGCTCACGGCCGCCCCAGTGTTGACCTGCTAGGCTCAGGCCATCCTTCTACCCCAGCCTTCCAAGTAGCCAGAACTACAACCGTGCGCTACCACGCCCAGCTAATTTTTTGATTTATTATAGAGATGAGGTCTTGCCAAGTTGCCCAAGCAGATCTCAAACCGATGGGCTCAAGCAAGCCCCTCACCTCGGCCTCCCAAAGTGTTGGGATTACAGGCTTGAGCTACCATGCTGGGCCTGCTAATGCTTGTTTAGCATTATATGTCTAGTCACCTAATGCACATACATCCATAACAATAAAAAAAGTAATTTGGCCCTGGTAAGACCACAAGGTAAGTCTGTCTTTTTCTGACTAGAAGTAGATTCTTTAGTTTCTCCTGCATAAGAATTCACCGTTCAACCCCGAGGCTGTGGAGTCAGAACCAGATTGAGGCAGCAGAGCCAGGACTGCTTCTGAGACTGTCAGTCGTTTGGTTTAATCACTTGGGATCTTGGAAAATAGCTAAGCTCTGCAAGGCAGACCCAGATAAGAAGGAAACTGTACCCCAATAATCACCACTGGTGGTCAGAGGCATCTAGCACCACCTAGACGGGAAGAAGACGGGACCTCTGTGGTGCTGACTCCCATGTTGGGTGGGAAGTAGGCATGGCATCCTGTGGCCACCTTTCTGAGGATATGCTGGGTCAGTCACCAACCAGGTGCCCCACATTCCTCAGCCTCACAGTAAAGGCAGAGCCCTGTTTACAGACAAGGAAACTGAGGCTAGGAGAGTTGATTTGAGCCCTTGAGGGTTGCTCTCAGCTTCTCTGGGTAAATGTTGCTCCCCGTGGGTAAATGTCAAAGGTCTCTTTGTATGGATGTCAAACTCCACTGTTGATAACAAATTCATTTCCTTCCCTGCCTTTCTCTTGTCCTTCTCTTATTTCTCTTATCCCATCTCCCCTATCCCTGTGTGCCCATCTCCATGCTATGGAGAGATGAGGGACCCAGCCTTGGAGGGCACAGTCTTTGCCCTCCCTCTGTCTACTCCCCAGAGGTGGGAATTCAGGGCCTAGGGCAGGCCAAGGCTTTCCAGAGAATACATGAGTCAGGGAAGGAGGCCCTGAAGGCTCTAGAGACCTTCTTGCTGTTCTGGTAGCTGCACCATCCTGGTGCCTGGGAGTCCTGAGGGGGGAGAACACCCCTGTCAGAGCAACGGCCCATGGGCTCGAGCATCACCCAGACATTGACAGGTAGGGCAGCCCCTTGCCCTGGGAGTGCGCTAGGAGAGTTTACAATTACTGGGAGATTTTCAAATTTTCAAAGGGTCCTGTGTCTCAGACTCATTCAGCATGTACAAAACTGTGTGAAATGTGACATGATGGACTGTATTTGTGACTGTATTTGTCCAGGATTCCTTGTGGTCTTGAGAAAAATGGATATAAATCCAGAATTTCTGTGTGTGAGCTAATTACTTTTACAAGATGCCTAGAGAGTCTCTAACCTGACTAAATACATAATCCCATGACAAAAGCACTTTGGCAGACATTACTACAGGGCACATTCCCCACATTCAAGAAAATTTGAAATCTACACAATGAGACCTTTGACATTTACCCACAGGGAGCAACCCAGAGAAGCTGAGAGCACCCTTCGAGGGTTCAGATCAACCCTCCTAGCCTCAGTTTCCTTGTCTGTAAAAAATCCTCTAAATCCTCAACTGACAACAAGCACATCCCCTGTGCTTCCAGCGGGGCACATGGTCCTCCGTCTAAGAGTGTTGGGGGCAGTGGAGATATCTAGGCTGCCTGGGCACATGGGGACCCTGCTCGTTCCTCCCCTCTGCTCCTGCAGTCTCTTCCTGCTCTGGTCCAGGAACCTCCCTCCCTCAGCTGGGACTGACACAGCCAAATGGTGGCCTTCCCACCTTTCTCCCCTCTGGGAACCTTCCTCCACTTCTTGCCTTCCTTTTTCTCCCTTCTTTGTCTTCTTCACACATCCTTAAAATCTACCCTAGACTTTCCTTGCCACCCAGAGTGGCAGCAGGAGGACAGTGGCGCTGACGGGCCCTTGGAGAAGCACCTCCCCTTGGCGAGACTCCCTGGGCCCTCATCTCTGAGGCTGTTTGCTGTTTGCTTCACAGCCTTGGGCTCAGGCTCTTTCGAGTCTATTAAAGCCACTTGACCAAAATGAATCAAACCAAACCAAACACACAACAGCAACCAAAAAAACATCTCTACTACAGTGAAACTTCATGCTTATTCACTGTGAGGATTCACAGTCAATGCTTGCTTATTTGCATGATTTTACTGGCATTCCTCCCAACCTCTTACACCTACTGTGATTCCCATTTTTGGAAGTCTTCCTTCCTAAAAGTTCTTCCTTTCGCTCAAAGTCCACCCAAACCCCACCTCTAGATAACTGTCCCAGTGGGGCCATGACTGTGCCTGACTTGACTTCCAGTGTTGGCAGGATACTCTTGGGCCTCTTCACTGAAGTATGTGTCACCCATGAGGTCTGTCCTCCCAACAGAGTGGGTTTCCAGGCAAGGGCCAGTGCCAAAAGGGGAGTCTCTACATGTAAACTGAATGAAAGAATCAGGCCTGGGGACTAATCATGTACAAAATGAGGACAGTTTTCCTCAGCTTTTAGGATTAGTGACTATTTCCAGCTGCCCATCCTGAAGCGCCATCTCCAGGGTCCCTCTCTTTGCAACAGGCCTTTCTCTTGGCCACACACTGGTGATGGACTCAGGACCAGATGTTGTCATCCAGGTTACCTTGGGTGGGCCTCCATGGGGTCCTCCTGCTACTTCATGCCAACCATAGCCCTGAGAGGATGGACTCTGGTGTGAGCTTCAGAATTCAGAAGACAGCAGCCTCTTAATGTCTACTCCCAGTTATCATTTAACTCAGTGAGCCCTGATATCTAATAAGCACTTTACAAACACACACAGCAGGTTCCAGATTCAAATAAGTTTAGGAAACACTGTTAAACAAAATTCAATAGATTCTGAAGGACTTCTCAGAACCTTTACTCTGCTATTATGCAATGAAAACAAAACAAGTTCCACAGGACTTTCCAGAGGCTTTAATGTGCTCAGGAGTATTGTGAATGTCAAAAAGGTGATACAACATGCAGAGATTCTCAGCTATTTAACCAGAGTGTTCCACTCATAGGAATTGCTGATTTGGGAATTCTGGTTAAATCTATCAGAAATAAGTGGAATTATGATGCATACAGATAGGGAGAGCCCAGCTAACAGAAGGTAGAGGATATTTTGTTATTTCAATATAAATACTTAATATAAAAAATATTTGCATTTGAATATTTATCAATATTAACTGTTGAAAACAAAGTAAGAACCTATTGTGGATTTGGAGTCCAAATGTATCCAGATGAATTGAACAACTATTGCATTTGCCTGAGAAATAAAGATAGAGATGAGCTTTGGCTGGTACCATCTTTTGGAGCAAGGATGTGAGAGCTGGCGATCCCTGGTAGAGTTTGGGAGGCCTAGTGGGACCCTGGGAGGGAGACTGGTTGGGTGTGACAGCATTGGAGGATTTGTGGGCTGAGGCTTTGGAGGGAATGTGGCAGTTGCGACATTGGCTCTCCCCTGTCTCCAGCAGTCCCCTCTTCCATTCAGCCCCCCTCTCCTCCCTTCCCTCCCACCCCAGGTTTGACACAAGGGCCCTTGTCTCAGTGTCTAATCTCCAGCCCTTACTTCCTCTTCCCCTTGCAGAGGCTCTAGGTTGGCTTCTGGTCCAGAAACCCACAGAAAATGTAATGGGTTACGTGTGTGTACATTTATGTGTGTATATATGTATATAAGTGTGCATGCATGAGTACATATGTGCATGTGAGCATGAGTATAGGCATATTTGTGCACGTGAGAGTGTGTGCTTATCAGGGCCAGCTTCATGGCTGTGCAACCCATGCAGCCACAAGTGCTGCTTGCAGTACTTGATTTAATGCTTGTCTTAAAATTCTGAGTAATTTTTGGGAAAGGCCCTGCACATCATATAACGAGTGGTGTTTTTGTGTGTGTTCATGTGGTTGAGAGTGTGTGAATGTGTGTGTATATGTGCATGTGTGAGTATATGTGTGTTGGTGTTTCTGGAACTGTCAGGAAACTCAGAAGGGCTGTGACCCAGATACATTTAAGAACCCTTACTGACCTTTTTTAGAGGGAGGCGTGGACTAGATAGGAGAAGGGACAATCACAGTCATCGTTCATACAGTTTGATAGAAGTACCGACCAGCGGTCTGGAAACACTCTTTCCTACCCCATCAGAGCACTTTTCATGCATTTTATAAATGTTTGTTTGTTTGTCTGTTTCCCCCATGGCTAGGTAATTTCCACGAGTGTGGGGACCATATCGGACTTATTTACAACTGTATCTTTAGCACCCAGCACAGTAACCAACATATAGTAGGTGTTTAATAAACCTTTCTTGACTAAAATATGTCTCAACCCAAGCAGATGTCCTCAGAATTCCTACTTCCTATACACACGTCTTTTACCTTATCATAGTCTTTTGGGGTTAGAAGTGTCAAGTGGTCCATGCCTCTGCCATCAGACAGGACCTCCCAAAGACTGTCCTTCACCTAATGCCCTTGGTCCTTTTGCAGAGCCTTCTTCCTAATATGTCTGATGACTACAACTATGACTCCACATCTTCTATGGATGACTACATGAACTTCAATTTCACTGACTTCTTCTGTAAGAAAAAAAACGTCAGGCAGTTTGCGAGCTACTTCCTCCCACCCCTGTACTGGCTCGTGTTCATCGTGGGTGCCTTGGGCAATAGTCTTGTCATCCTTGTCTACTGGTACTGCACAAGGGTGAAGACTATGACCGACATGTTCCTTCTGAACTTGGCTATTGCTGACCTTCTGTTTCTTGTCACTCTTCCCTTCTGGGCCATTGCCGCTGCTGATGAGTGGAAATTCCAGACCTTCATGTGCAAAGTGGTCAACAGCATGTACAAGATGAACTTCTACAGCTGTGTGCTGCTGATCATGTGCATCAGTGTAGACAGGTACATCGCCATTGCCCAGGCCATGAAAGCACAGACTTGGAGGCAGAAAAGGCTTCTGTACAGCAAAATGGTTTGCTTTACCATCTGGGTGCTGGCAGCTGCGCTCTGCATTCCAGAAATCCTGTACAGCCAAATCAATAGGGAATCTGGTACTGCCGTCTGCACTATGGTTTACTCTAAGGATGAGAGTAGCAACCTGAAGTCAGTCGTCTTGACCCTGAAGGTCATCCTGGGGTTCTTCCTTCCCTTTGTGGTCATGGCTTGCTGTTATACCATCATCATTCACACTCTGATCCAAGCCAAGAAGTCATCCAAGCACAAGGCCCTGAAAGTGACCATTACTGTCTTGACCGTCTTTGTCTTATCTCAGTTCCCCTACAACTGCATCTTGTTGGTGCAGACCATTGATGCCTACGCCATGTTTATCTCCAGCTGTGTCATTTCCACCAACATTGACATCAGCTTCCAAGTCACTCAGACTGTTGCCTTCTTCCACAGTTGCCTGAACCCAGTTCTCTATGTCTTTGTGGGTGAGAGATTCCGCCGGGATCTTGTGAAGACCCTGAAGAACTTGGGTTGCATTAGCCAGGCCCAGTGGGTTTCATTTACAAGGAGAGAGGGAAGCTTGAAGTTGTCGTCTATGCTGCTGGAGACAACCTCAGGAGCACTTTCTCTCTGAGGGACCTTTCTGAGGGGCATGGCTCTTTTGGAAGTAATGAGAAATGCAGCTACAGTTTCCCCACTGATGGGACCAGAGAGAAATCATAGAAGAAAAAGGAAAGAAGAAAGGAAAAAAATCTCAGAAAGGGATGAATCTGAACAATATTATTACTTTTAGTCAGAACTGACCAAGCCAGAGATTTCAAAATTCACCGGCTACTCCAGAAGGCTGTTGATAGGCTCTTGGCCACAATACCTACAGTTTTCAAAGTAGGACAAATGAACAGCATTGCAGACCTCCTGGCTTTGCCACTTGCCTGAGTATTGAGGCAGCTGCTGCTAGGAGGCAATGATTTTCTCAGTGCACTGGGAATTTTTGTGGCTTCAGTTTTCGTGTCACCCCTTTCAAAAGGGGGCACAAAAACATTGGCCACCGTCATAGTCCACAAAAGCAGAAGGTGTCATGAAAACTACAATCTTTGGGAAATTTCTGCTCTGATTTTAGGTCCTATACCCATGTCTTATAGATTCCTGATCTAGAATCTTTCTAAACAATCTCAGCTCCAATTCCCCTCTGGTCTCCTTGGTCTGTTCTGGGCCAGTGAGTATTCTTATTTCTGTTTTGAAATCATCTACAGGACTGATCAGTGAGCTCCTGGGAAATTGACCACACCCCCAAGTCATCCAGAGTCTGCTGGTTCCAATCCATTTCTGTGTTCTGCTGGAGTTTTTGGTCTAGGCAAGGATTTGGCTTGTCCTTTGGTGTTGTGAAAGTGGCTCTCACAGCCTGAGAAGGGAGGTGGATTAGCAGTAACTGGCAGTAACAGTGGGCTTGCACTGTTGAGAGACACTTGCTACTGGTTACCCTGTCTGCTTTCTATAGGGAGGGTTCTCTTAACCTCCTTCTCTCTGGAAGTAAATGCTGGAAGGCTGTTTACTTATCCATGCCTATTTCCTTCTATGCTTCATTTTTTCTATAGTGCCAACATTTTAAAAAATTTTAACTCAGAGATTAGGCTGAAAAAAATAAGCAATAGAATTTTCTTTTGCTTTGTGTGTGGTTTTTTTTTTTAACTATTTGGCAAATATATCACATTTGAAAATATTTTGCATATTAGAGAAGTGTTTTTTAATGTATATTTAAAATATTCATTACTTATCACTTTCTTTACCCTGTCTCAAAATTGTAAAGTGTGTGCAATTAAAGATCAAATAGAGTGTGACGAGTAAGAGATTGGGATAAGGAAATGAGATCTTCAAATACCTTAAAACCATCTCGGCTGACCCATTTTTATTTTCCTCTGGTCAAGCTTATTTCCCAAGTTGTTCCCAGTTAGACAAATGGGATTTCCAAGGAGAACTATTGAGGCAGCACCATAAACCACTTTTGCCACTTGCTCTAGAGGAAACGTCTGATTTTCCCCAGGGCACTCCACATTGCCGAGGCTCTCATTCCAAGGCCATCCCTTCCCAAAGGGAACACAAAAGCACTGGACTCTGCCATAGTACCCTTCTTCTCCCTGCCCACTTCTAAAGCACATGATCGTGAGAAATAAGTGAACAGAATACAGACAGGGAGAAGCGTCGGCAAACACTCTGCCCATGCCTGGGAGGTTGGTGGGGAAAGCTTTGGCCAGGGTCTAGCACTCGATATGGGCACAGCAACAACGAGCACTTCTTCCATAGTCAAGGGAAAGATGACTTCTCCAAGGTCAGTCTGTGGACAGGGCCATCCATGTGACCATCATCTCCAGGAGGAGACTCAGATGTCTGCCCTTTTAGGAACTTGGAGGAAAAGATAAGATGCATGAGCCACATGTAAGGAACATAGGCACAAGGAACACAGTTGAGTTTGGTTTTTCCACACCCCTTTGGTGCCACACTTCTGATACCCTGTCATGGGGGTCCCAGTGATGCTGAGGATGCAGAGACAGACGGAAAGAGGAGAGCCCAAGCCATTACTGTGTTTGTTGAATCTACACTCTTGGCCTAGAGGTCCTCAAAGGACACTATGATGGAGACTTAGTGAGATTTTAAAGGTAAATACGATTTTGGCCAATGTACATTTGTTGGGAAAAATGCCAGGGACTCCACATTTCCCCTCTGATTAGTAACAATAGAGCTACAAGAATACCACAAGAACTCTAGACACTGCATTGCACCCATGTGCACAATGACCATGTCTAGTTCCTACTTCTAGGATCTGACTGTCACTACTGAACTGTTCCAGTCCAAATACACTTCAATGTAGGATCAAAGGTGTGCTGCAACTATATTATATTTGAAAGCTTTTAAGTATTATTTGTTGATAAAGTGTCTTACTTTTAAAATGATTTCATAAATTGGACTGATAAAAAATGACAGCATAAATTTGAATTTTACATTCTGATTAAATTAGACTTCAGTAACAAGTTTATCCTGAAATAAAAATTTTGGAGGCGCCAACAACGGAGAAACCCATGATGAATTAGTGATCCATTGAGCACTTCTAGGAAATATGCTGTGTGAATATTTTTAAAAATAAAGATAAGGGAGAAATTTAATATATAATTACATTTTACTGGAACTCTATAAATTAGAACAAATAGGAAGCTTAATGAAATATGACGCTTTCGTTATTTTTATTCTTTATTTTTTTGAGTTGGAGTCTCACTCTGTCGCCCAGGTTGGAGTGCAGTGGCACGCTCACAGCCACCCCAGCATCAACCTGCTGGGTTCCGGCGATCCTTCCGCCTCGGCCTTCCAAATAGCATACTACCATGCCCAGCTAATTTTTGACTTATTGTAGAGATAAGGTCTAGCCAAGTTGCCTGGGCTGGTCTCGAACCCTCAGGCTCAGACAATCCACTCGCCTCAGCCTCCCAAAGTGCTGGGATTACAGGCTGAGCCACCAAGCCTGGTCGACAGGTTTTCATTATTAAAAACATGTTGGTTTTTTTAATTTCAAGTATTTTAAAAATTAATTTTAAGTTAATATATCACAACATACATATACATATAGGGAATGTTACCTTGATGTAGTCAGTTTAGATGACTAGAGATTGGATCTTTCTGGACTGTCAGCCATGCAGAATACACCTTCAGTCAAATGTGTTCATTAGCAAACTTGTGTATATATGCTGAGCCAGTCCCTAATGTACTTACTGAATTATAACAGGGAATATGATAGTCATTTCCCTCAAGATGTTCAAATTCAGCAATATGAAAAAACTAGGAGCCTGTTGGACTCAGGTCTTAGAGAATGACATGAAAGGCTTCTGCCAGATGTTACCTCTTAGCTGAGAGTCACGAGGCTGGTGTCCTTGTATGGCTTATAAACTGGTTGTAGGCAGTTTCCAGAACAAGCCTCACCCACAGCAGCCTTGGTACAACCAGGGAGCCTCCCCAGCGAGGTCTTGGACTAGTGGCTTTTGTGTACCTGTTCTGGTACACGTGTTAAACGCCCACCCTCCCCACCACACGCCTTGTGTGGAATAGGCACAATATGTTGAATGAATATATATATATATATATACGCTTAAAGTTAGCTATTCCTTCAAATGTGTACTTCATGTGTCAGAGTTCAGATGCCAGAAAACTTCTCAAAGATAGAGATTGCCAACTTTGAGCACCAGGACATTACATCCTTTGGGAAGGTATATTGTCCTGCCGCCTACAAGCAGCCTGAGAACACTGGGGTCAAGGAGGGCCCTGGTTGGACCAGGACTGGACACCAGCTCTCCCGTGGCCTGCGAGGTGCTCAGATTGCTCCCTGCCACAGCTCCTGCCAGAGAGGTGAGTGGTTACCACCTCTTCCGTTTGCCCATAGTAGCTAATATTAATAGTCCTGAGCAAGAAAAAAACAGCCCACTGTGAGCTCCTTCCATTTTGTGAGATAGGAGATGGTTAGAGAAAGGCTAGGCAGGCAGACAGGGCAGGTCCTCTGGTAATAATGTAGCAAACTTCCAGCAGGTTGCTAAGGCTCAGCATTGGTAAACAAGCTCCCAGGAAGCCTCTCAAGCTAGAGCTTAAGTACTCACTGCTGGGATCGAAAAACAACCAATGAGCTCACTGCCAAGTACCAACCAATCAGTTCACCATTAGGCCCCTACCTCCTGCTGATTGGACCTCAGTACTGACCAATCAGAACAGTTATTGCCGATCAATCAGCTCATAGCCAATGCTAGCCAATTGGCTCAGTCTTAGGGTTATATAAGCATCAGGTTTTAGCTCCAAGTTGGCAACTCGGGTCCCCTGCCACAGTGGGAGCTTTTCTGTACTCTCAGTAAATTCTGCTTTCTCACTTTCCGGCTGTCCATATCCCTCATTCCTCCTGGGCATGAGACAAGAACCCCGATCTGAAGAGTTGCAGATCATTGGAGCCGAAGAGCTGTGCACCCCAGAGACTGGCTTGCCAGCTGATGGAGTCGGCTGAACCAGGAGAGCTGCTGGAAGAAGGCGAGATTCTGAAGCTGAGACATTCTGGGGGATAGGCTTGCCAGCCCATCAGAGCCAACACTCCGGGGTTAGGCTTGCCAGCCCACCAAACCAGCAGCACTCTTAGGGCCTGGCTTGCCAGTCCATTAGAGTCAACACTTCTGGGGCTAGGCTTACCAGCCCTTCGAGCTGACCCTCTCTGTGGCTTGGCTGGCCGACCCATTGAGCTGACACTCTCAAAGCCCAGGCTGACCTGAAAAATCCGTATCATATGAACCTTCCCTTGAGGCCATCACCATTGTGGTATGGTGGTTATGGGTGGCATTTCTGTGATGGTGTTGATTTCAATACAAAACCAAGACTGTCATGATGCATTAATGAGATAACACCATTGGATGCTACCACAGGCCTTCTGCTTCAGTAATGAAAAGCTGTCTTGTGCTCCTAGTTGGTTCTTTTGTGCTTGTAATCTTTGAATAGGTTTGCTTGGTTTTCCAATACTGAGTTGGCCTCACAAGAATTAGGGCGTTCCCTGGGGCCCACATCAAAGCACAGCCAAAAACAAGCCCAGACTGGCCGGGCTGTAGTGCCCATGGATCTCTGTCCTTCACTGAAGTTGGCCCCTCCAGTTTCACTGGAGGG